GTGGGGCTGGTGGCAGGAGGCGGCGGGAGGGCCCGGAGCGGCTGCGGGCTGGCAGGGGCCTGGTGCTGAGCGCTGGGAGGGAGCGGGTTAAATGGCGGGGGTGACTGGGGAAGTGGGGACGGAGCTGGAGGGAACGTGGGGGGAAAGCGGAGCCTTGGGAGTGAGAAACAGTCAGTTCCTCAGGGTCACCGGAGGCCCAGCGCTTGGAGACGTGACGTGGGCGTTCCAGGTGATGGGAATTGGCGTGGTGTGGTCTGGGAGAGGGAAGGCGGTGGGGGAATGGGAGAGCGGTGTGACTGGAAGAGGACGCTGGTGTTTTCCTGTAGCTCCCGTGGGAAGGATGTGGAGAAATCGCCTGGACTTGCAATGATGGTTGCTTGGAAAGGCTTCTTTTTTTTTAATGATAGGGTGTTGAAATAGATGCAGCTTTTTAAAGACCGTTGGATAAGATACCTTTTGGAGTAGTCAAAGTTGGAGCTTGCTCCCTCTTCCTGATAAGGAGCTTTATCCTCTAATCATCTTCCTACAAGAGCTGCAAGGTACTGTCTTTGAGCATTCAAGGGCAGACAGAGTCCCAGGTGGAATATGATCCAATGCCCTGCTGCACTGGATGTGGGGTTGGATGGTGTCCACACCCCCTGCCTTTCACAGCACAAAGTGTGTTGACCTCAAAAGCATCTACACCGTTCCCTCCTATGCAGCTGGTGGTCCCTGGGTCTCAGTAGCACAGTCCTGTTGTCAAACCAAAGCCAAAATAAAAATGTCAAAAGCTTTGTGTGGGAGCTCAGATTAAGCTTCTCATAAACCACTGGTTCTGCACTTGCAGCACAACTTGTTTTGATGATGTTTGAGTGCAAAGAGTTAGACTGGGGAACCTCTGAAGCTCTCTTCTAACCTGATGTATCTATTTGCCTTTTCAAAATGTGTTACTAATGGAGAAGTCCTGGTAGAAGTGGGAATTATTCCTCAGGCCTTCATCAGGTGCTGTGAAAAGGCAGAACACCAAGATGCTGATTGCCTGAATCAGCTCCTGGTTTGAAGGTGAGCAACAGCTGGTAAACAGGAGCATGAAGGACCTGAATGGGTCCAACAAAACAGCTCAGTGAGATCACACACAACTTCTGAAGGTGTTTATTTTATTGCCACTACATGGGACTTGGGAAGAGAAATTGAAGGAACTTGATGATACAACTTTCTGGTGGTAACTTTGCTGTGTTACAATGTTTTGTATACAGGTATGGCTTGTATTTCATTGCCTACATATTTGCTAACTTTTATCTCTGTTACTACAAGAGTGCTTTACTTCCATAGTTAATTGCTGAGTGTTTGTTTCAGGTATAACTTGGGTGCTGGTGTATCGAACAGACAAGTACAAGAGGTTAAAGGCTGAAGTGGAGAAGCAGAGCAAGAAATGTAAGTCCTTTTCAGACATTAGAGAACCTGTCTTGCTGCTCCTGTTACACCCTCCCTCAGCAGATGTCCAATTCAATAGTCTGCCCTCTGAGAAATTCCTGCTGCCCCTTATGCTGCAGCAGAGAACTTTCTTGGATTTCCTAGGAGCCTAATTTTACAAGTTATGCAAATCCATACTAGAGGGCTTTATTTCTGTCCATAATTCTTGGCTTTTGCTGAAAGGGAGGTTTGTACCAAGACATGTTGAATTGTCTGAATCACCTCCTGATGAAGGACAGGAGGGAGTAAGAGATCAGTACTGACATATTTTTTGTTTTCTTAACACGAGTAGCCTGTCTTTAGATTCTTTTAAGTGCCTGAAATAAGTGTGAAGATGCATTTTCTGCTTTTCAAGAATTTGAGATCAGTAGTAAGAAAGAACTAGGGTTGAATAATGAGTAACATTATACATGAAGAGTGAAACTGGTGATTAATGAGGGGGATGAGTAAAGATAAAGTCATGGCAGAAAGGTCTGAACTACCAGCTGATATAAAAATAAATTATATTAGTGTGAACTGGGAACAAATACAATTGATTAGGAAAAATGTCTCAGGTTATTTCCATAGAGAGGAGACCTGAGAGAGGCTGACCACAGGATGTAGGAGGAAGGGAAAAGGGAGCTCAAGTTGAGCAGCTGGAAGATAAACATCAGATATTAAGAGGAATGGTGAGCAGGAGGGTCTGAGCATGGAGTGTTTCAATGGACCTGTCTGTATTAGAAGCCAGGGAGCAGAGGGAAGAATTCAAACTCAGCTGCATGCTCCCTACACAAGTTGCAGCAGTAAGAGACATTACACAACAATTGAGGCCAAACCTGAGCTGGTTTTACCTTACAAACATTTCACCACCATGTCAGTGCTCTTAGTGCATGGCAGACCAGCATGATCCAAGCATTCTCTTTCCAGTCTAGCTTATTCAGCCTTCCCCTGGGCAAAATAAACTGAAGGGCTGAAGGATAGTCATGCTTGTGTCACAGCTCCTCAATTAGGGGCTTTTGTCATCAGGGCAGTATCAGATGGGGATTGCAGCTCTGCCTGCCTCATTTTAATCTCACTTGGCTGTCAGAAATGTGGAGGGTAGAATTAGCCCTGGAAGATCAAGCTGGAGCAGTAGTTGAAACAGCTGAAAACTTGGAGTTAATGTCCTGGTGTGTTTGTGCTGTGGAACTCGGAAAGCAGTTAGCAGGGCTTACTCTCTGGGGCTTAATGATTGCTGTAAGAGTTTAATGCTGTTTGTTTTTATAGCCCTCCTGGTATCTAGGCTATAGTCTGTGAAGGGGAAGATGTGAGGTTCATGCATCTCAATTAGTTTCTAACATTGTTTGATTTCCCCACCCCTAACAACAACCACAAAAAGTACAACTGCATTAGGAGTCACTAGAAATCCAGCTTTGCTTTTTTTTTCCCCCTCCTGTGATAAGGATAGCTGGCTGACCTGCTGGTTTACAGACAACTTGCAAAGTGGACCACTTGAGCCACACCTTTCACTGTTGTCTAACACATCTGAAACAGGAAAAAACACATTTGAGACCTTTAAGCTCTCCCACGGGAGCCCTAGCAATCCTAAGCATTTGCAAAAACAAGTGGGCCAAGTAGTGTTGCTTGAGTAGACATTGTTACTGAGTTTCATCCTGCAGAATTGTCTGAGGCTGCTGCAGAGGTGGCAGTGAGTGTTCTGGGGTAAATGTCATGGTAAATTTGCAAGGCTGAAGGCCAGCTCTTAGAACTGCTGCTGTGTCATTGTGTGTGTTCCCAGGGACAGGCTTGTGAGGCTGCCTGGCTGTTACTTGTTGGGCTGGAACCAGAAGGGAAGTGGAGCTGTGGAGTATGTTAGGTTGGCATGAGGCTCAACAGCACTGTCTGGAGTGAAGCTGGGCTCTGGAGGAGCCCTTGTGTTAGGGCTGTGAGCAGTAAGTAGGCCTGAAAAGTTCTCCAATTTAGAGTTGGGGGCTGTGGGGTTCTGAGGACTAGGGTTGGCATGGACTGATCAGGATGCTTCAGCTGGATTTAGCATAAGGAAGGTTATGGAGAGAGCATGATGTGAGCACTGGGTGGGTTGTGTCATCTGGCACCTCTTCCCAGCATTCCCTTTGATCAGACTTCCCTGTTTTTCCCTTGTGCTAGCCTGCCTACGAGAGATCTGCTGGTTCTTTGGAACAACAATTGTGTTACTACATCACCACAGAGGAAAACATACCCAGCTGTCTTGTCTGGGCTAGTGTGGTTTTCTTTGCAGGTGTGACCAACTATCGTATCACAGGCATTTCAGAAGCCAACACTTCAAATCCTTGTCTGACTTTAGAGGCTGGCTCTCTCAGTTTTACCCATGGTTTGAAATTAGGGCTAGATTTGTGCTCAGCTTGTTCTTCACAGGGAAGAAGAATCCTAAAGCTCAGAGCTCTAAGCTGGCTCGTCAGCTAACTAAACAAGGAGCCGAGCCTATTCATTGCTAGAGTAGGTATGGTCCAGATAACACAGAATGAAAAGAGGCTGCTATCTCTTAGACCTTAGCCATGCTTCATCATCCTCACCTCTTGTAGTCCTCTTGTTACAGGTCTTAAATGACAATGTCTCTTACTTCCTGGAAGAGCTTTTTGCTGTCAGAGGAAGAGTGTGTTTAGATGAACAGCCCATTTACTGTGTTACAAGTTCACTGTGCTGGCTTTATGTCAGCTTTTTTTATCTCTGCCTTGGCAGTTGTTTGCAGATGCTTGGTAAGTGTGTCTGATTTGGAGGGCTAGTAACTTTGAGCTTAGGCTGCTACTTTAAGATACTGGAGAATTTTCAGTACTAATTAATTGAAGAACAGAGAGGCTGTGGCTGACTGCTTGGGCAGCATTTCCCCTGAGAATGCTTGTCTGTGAAGAAGGGATGTGTGAGAACACAGGCTTTCCTGTATTCTGCTTCCCACTGCAGATAATTGGGAGCAGAGCTGGCCACAAAGCTCTTTTCATTGCACTTGCTGAATCAAAAGTACTGTCTAGTACTAATGACAAATCAGCAAGGGTCATTTGAGCCAAAACTGTCCCTAGACTGCTCAATTAACAGTGTAATGGGCTCTTGACAGTTTGAAGTTAACCCTTTTAGTATTCCTATATCTCATCCAGGGTTTGGATGTGTTTTGGTTTTTTTTAATTTAATAAATGTTCAATGGGTGCTTGTAACTTTGGTGGTTACCAAAATGGTGTAACCTTTGGTGGTTTGTAACTTCTTGATTCTGAATATGTTCTTAGTTATACCCAGCTTCCTTTTGTGCCCCTGTTCTCTGAAGGAATAACCTGTTTTGTTTGGTATGTGGAAAAGGGGTGCTGGTATCCCTGTGCAGAAATGATGGAATATCTTGCTTTTCACTTGGCAGTGGAAAAGAAGAAAGAAACAATAACTGAATCAGCAGGTCGACAGCAGAAGAAGAAAATAGGTAAGACTGGGAGGGGAGCATGATGCCCCAAGCATGAGGGAAGGTGGGTAAACTTATAGAAGTGGTACTAGAGCTGATTCTTGTCTTGATGACTGGAATGTGAGTACTTTTGCCCTGCTTTCCCAAGGCAGGAGGTATCTGACCTCTCAATGATTTTAGTAAAAAGCAGAGAAGAGCAGCATCACTGAGAGGAGCAGCACTTCTAGTAGAACTGGTTGCCTTTCTCTCTGCTTTGTGCCTTTGTAGCCGTGACTGTTGTTAACTTCTGTTGTCAAAGCTCTTTGCTGCGCTGCACGTTCAGCTTAAAATAGCTTTGTGACTACATGATGGTGATTTTTTAAATCTTTCTCTTTGTTTTTTTTTCTTTCTTATTTGAACACTTCAGATCTGAAGGGGTTTGAAATAAATAGAAGCACTCTTAGAGTTGATTAAAGTTGATTGTAGTTACAGTTGATTAAATTAGTTTTGCTCAATTTTAAGTATTGAGGTTTTTTTGTTCTTTTTCATTGTCAATAAGCTAAAGTCCTTCTGGGTGGAGGTAACTCTGAGCTGTGCAAGAGCAACGTGGCAGATGTTTAATGGACATGTGCTTTGGAAAGTCCTGTTATCTGCAGGACTCTAAAACGTGCAGCAAAGTGCAGTTTAATTATTACAGATACCATGGCAGGAACACTTCTGAGAGCTCCTGGGAGTTGGTTTCCTCATTCCTCTGTAACGCCAGGTAGCTGGATTAGTCATTTGATCTGTACAAAGCTTTGGAATAATGATAAAAATATCTTCAAACAGTTCTTCCTAGGTATAAAAACCTGTTATCGTTAGACTCCAGAAGGGACAGGAGCCAAAACTCTTCCTCTTGTGCATTTTCAGTTCTTAATCTTGAATAACCCCTGCAGGGGATAACATACTACTTGGTGGATAAGGCAACTTTCTAACATTAGGTGCTGTTGTTTCATATGGTTGCTTTTGAATGTGTGGCAATGACTTTTTCTTGCAGGGCACCATCCAAGCTATGTTCTTAGCAGAGAATATTTTGCTTGTGCTTGGATTAAACTAATAAACAATAGAATCTGAGGAATTCAGATGCTTGATCAGTTTGTTGTGTTTTTTTATATGCTGAAATAATCTTGTTTTGCAAATGAAAAACAAAGCACAAAGGGACTAAGAAAAGAACTTAGGAAATGACCACTGATTTTGTTTGCTGTGGTGCTTGCTGGCCAAGCCTAAGATACCAAGACTGACTTATTTTTATTTTTTCTTGCAAGTGCTGCATAACTTCAGTGTCTCATTTGTTTTCAGGCTGAATTTCAGCTGAATCCTCAGTGTTTCTAAAAAACTGGGCCCTAAATGTCAAGAAAATGCCTTGCATTAACTGCTTTTAAAATCTTTGATCCCAGTGACTTACTGGGTGTGAAATCATTCTGCAAGATGTAGAATGGTTTTAACAGCAACTTGAACTTGTGCTGAAGTTTCTACCATTCAGGTTAAGTAATAAAATAATGAGGTGAGGCTTTACAGATAAGTCCAGCCATGGTATAGACCTGCCCCAGTTGCCATCTGTTTTGTGCACAGAATAAGGCAGGAGATGTGGGGAGGAGTGATTATTTGGCTCTGTAAGAGATGCATTGTGTGTGCACAAAGAGGTAGGGGGAAAGTTGAATGGGAAGGCTTAATTTGGAGCTTCCTACTTGTCAAACTTTTTATTAAGTATAAAGTGAATGAGTCAGGTTGTGTCTAAATGACCTTTCACACTGCTCAGACAGCACACCTTTCACATCATGGTGCAGCCTCCTGTCATTTTGGCTTAAGGAGTGTGTTTGCTACTGCCTTTTGTGTCCTTCTGGCCCTAGAAGAAAAAACAGTGATATTCCCAGCAGTCCAGATGAGTGCTGGGTAGTCAGCAAAACAAAATTGCACCAAAAAAACACACCAAAAGAAAACAAAAGAAACCCCAGTGCTGGCAAATAAGATTAATGCTGTATCCCTGGATCCTTGTGGTTTCTGTTCCGAAAAGCAGAACAAGATGATTTTGGATTCCAGGGTGCTGCTTGTTGACCCAGAACTCTTTCTCTATTCTCTATTGGACTGTATAGCAAAGTACTTAAGTGCTGCTTATGTGTGGGCAGGAACAAACCTTTTATGTTAGGTAGGACATCCAGAGCCCATTTGAGGCTGTAAAAATAGGTGAGAAACTGGTCAGGTATATTGAGGGACCAGGGCTTTATTCTGTATCTCTATGTAACCTTTAGCCTGTCTAAATAGATGGTTAGTTATGTAGCAGAGGGGAAAAAACAACTATTTGTGCCAAATGTGATTCCTGAAGAACTCGCCTGTGGTTGCTGAAATGTCCTAGAACAAAACTCTCCACCTGGGTCAGGAAGCAGGTGTCTGGAAAGTTCCTGCCAGAGGAGTTGGGAGTAGTTGAAAATAGCAATGAGGATTCTAAGAAATCAGATAGGGGTCTTGCTGGTGCTTCTCATAACACTTATTGCAAGTCCCTGTATTTAGCAGGGCCTTGGAAGAGAAGTGTTGAGCTTCTGTGCCATGAGCCTCTTGCACTGAAACTTCAGCAAGGATCCACTGGGCAACTCCCATGCTGGATAGTCCTGGACAGTCCTTCTGTTCCTCATTTCCTTTGCTCACACTGTTCTTTTGATATTCCTTCATTGTCCACATCCTTAGTTCACTAGATGTTGGTTTCAAACCCTGAGGCTGCCCCTCTGGATCTACAGTCTGAGAGAAGCACAGTGGACAAGGGACGATGGGGATGTGGGACGAGAAAGGTGACAGGTGGTGGATAATGCTCAAGGCCAGAGCAGCCCTCCAAAAAGGGCCATGGAAAATGCCCTCCTGGAAAATTGGACATCTTTGAAGTTTGTGATGACTTATGGACAGACTAAATTTCCAAAGCAGTATTTTGAAGTATTCTCTGTAAACCATAGTAATACACAAGTTGCTGAAATTTATGTAGAAAACATCTTTCCTCTTTGGAGAGTCCTTTAGTTGTGACAAAGGTCCACAATTCATTATGAAGACCAGCAGGGTGTTAACCTTGCTGAGGTGCAGCTCCCTGCTCTGTGAGTGGTTTCAGAGTCCCTTCTGGCACTTCCAAAATGAAATCCTTATATAATAAATTTAAAACAGGGAGCCTGGTGTGCAGCGAATTGAAACCGCTCTCTTTCAGAAGTGTGATATAGAGGCACTGTCTTTGTTTTCTCGCAACGTTGCTCATGCTACTGTGTCAGTTGGTTGAGTTAGCAAATTTGACATTCTGTGCATTTCTTTCCAAAGTGCTGAACGTGTGATTTTAGCCTCCTCCTCTTTTGTGCCTGCTTTGCTGCATGTCACTGTGATGGAGAAGCAGTTGGCTATCTACAGTTTTTCACTTTATTCTGTCTGGCATAGAGAGCTGGAGTTGGTTTTGGAAGTGTTACTTGTTTGGAGAGCTAAGAAGGTTAAGTCTTCCTGGAAATGAAAACACTCTGGTTTCTAGGTTGGTATAACTGATTATAACTGTTGATGTTTTTCTTCCCAGAGAGACAAGAAGAGAAACTCAAGAATAACAACAGAGACTTGTCAATGGTAAGAAAATTAAAGCCAGTTCTAGACTGCTGAAGGTTTCAGTCAGTTTTTCAATAGAAAAGCTGTTCAACTGGCAAAAATAGTGGCTTTTCCTCCTGACATGTCCTTCTGGAATATCTCTAATAACTGCAGATTTTTATATGAGCCAGAGAGTTCTCCAGCAGTTACTGCCTCATCTCATGCCCTGCCTTAGCTTTTTTCATCTTTATAAGCCTCCATGATGTTTTTAAAGTAGAGTGCATTTATCTGCCTTCCTCTTGTAAGTTCTGTCTACATAATGATCCCCTGCTGAATAGCTGTGTAGGCTGAAGGATTAAAAACAACCTGTAGAAGGTAACAGGACGATTCTTGAGCACTTTTCCCCCCCCTCCCCCCCCCCCGAAGCAGCTCCTCACATCAGTGGGTCCATTCTGTGGCTGCCTTTGCACCCAGCTGTTGACTAGACTCCTCTTTGGGAGTTCCCTGGTCACTTTTGCAATCCCTCTGGCCTTCTGGGACATCTCTTTTCCCTTCTAGATTCCAGTGATACTGTACAAAGTCTGTTCTTAAGGGTGTGAGCCCATAATCCTTCAATGTAGGCCTGTTGTTTTGATTATCTTTCTGCTTGCAGGTTCGGATGAAATCCATGTTTGCCATTGGCTTCTGTTTCACTGCCTTGATGGGAATGTTTAACTCCATGTAAGTATCAACTTTCTGTGTGTTTTCTTAAATTTTCATGGTGATTATAGTCTCTACCTCCCCTCTCTCACCTGCAGTGCCACAGTGACAGAGTCCCTCCAAGAACCATAACTAACCTGTACAAAAAAATAGATCAATATTTCATGTGAAGATGCAGTTGTTTGGCCACCACATGTGTGCTCTGTTCAAGAGGGAACACTGCATGCTGAAGGCAATTAAATTGCACAAGTTGCATTTCATCTAGACACAACTCTAACATCCTTGTTGCTTGGGAACATCTTTGTTAGGGCAGGCAAGCAGCTACAGCCTTCAGCTTCTTTGGCTTTGCTGTAATGATGTGACCAAAGAATGCTCTTGCAAGCAAAATTGGGTAAGCTCCCTGGCTCTTAGAAATGAGCTGTAATTGCAGAGTTTGTTGTTGCTCTTCTTACACTGATCAGAATCAAGATACCAACAGGTCCAGGCATGGGCTGTAATCTTTCTTTGCTGTCAAAATAGCCTGGGATAGGTCTGGTTTAAAAAAAAAACCAAACAAACCAAAAACACAACAAAAAAACCAACCCAAACTGTTTTTTTTAGGGTCATAGACAGCTTTGTTTCAGAAATGCAGAACTCAAAGACTGCTTGACTTCTAAAAATTGATCTCGAAATGTGAACTTTCTTTTGGCTTTTAAATCTGAGGATGACATGATTAGTATAACCTTTGGAGGCTGCTTAGTATGTGGGCAATATATTTGTCCTGCAAACACTAATTTACGTTCTTGGGCACCAAAACCTTTGGCCTCTGTGCTGGCAGTCCCCAGGATACAGCCAGTTGTTATTTTACTGTAGATCTGTGGGTGGATAAATTGCAAACAGGAGGTAACATAATAACAGAAGTGCCACTGTGTGAACTACTTTTCAGCTTAGTCAGACTTCAGCATCAAGCCTTCTCTGGAATGCTATGAAAATGAGCAGAGGAACACAACACTAAAGGACTTTAAAATTTGGGTACAATTTTGAGTCATTGGTGTCTCATTTCACTGCAGCCCTGAGATGCATTGTGAGTCATGTGCCAAGCATCATAGGGTCTGTGGGGACATTTATAGAGCTGCACCTGAGGCCTTCAAGTGCTTGCAATACAAACACCACTTCTGCTGCCCCTGAAACAAACTGAAAAACAAAGTAAAAAAACCCAACAAACCCACCCTACTCTGTCCACTTTCCTAGGGCAGGAAGTGGCAGTTCAGACTATGCTATGGCTGGCAAGTGTTACAGGACTGTAAGTTCATTAAGAGCTTTAGGAATTTAGTTAAATTATAGTTTGGTTAAATGTTGGTTAACTCTTGTGTGGCTCCTTGTTCCACGGATCTTAACCTAAAAAAATGAGTTCATGGGTTTCTTCTCCTTTAAGACCACCAGATTTATTTGTCTGGCTCTTCTTTTGAGGAGTCCTGCCTGCAAAGACCATTTTACTAGCCACAGAGAAACTTTTGGACATAGCTTTCCTTTAACTGCCTCTTTCTTTAGAGGGAACATGCACATGAAGAGCAGGAGTATCCAGAGACCACAAAAATTGACTGAAATAAGTTTATTGAAAATAGCTGAGACTATGGAATTAAAATCTAAAGATTTGGCTCTATGATCTTTGGAGATAGATGGCCAAGTTTTTGCTCCTGGTCTCAGTACAAGGTAGCTAGTGCATTTGTATGTAGGTAGCATCTTTGGTGGGCTGTACCTGCAGTGTCTGAAGCTGATAGAATGGTTTGATGTCACCTACTGTCATTCTCCTGAGATAGCATAAAGAGCAGCTGCCTGCCTCAGGAGCCCTTCCTGTTCTTGAATGAGTTCATTGCTCTGAGGGAAGAAAGGAGCAGTAATTACATAGGAGTAAGCATGATGTGCTGCTCTTTGGACAAGTACTATGCAGACAGTGCTGCTCTGTGGCTGGGCACCTCACCTTTGCCAAGTGCCAGCTTAGCCAAAATGGAAATGACTGTGATGACTGGCTCTTCTCCTTAGAGTGTCATTAGAAATGGGGCAGCGGCTTAGACCATGCTGGAAGGATATGTGAGTGTCAAGAAGGCTGCTCTAAATCCAAAGAGCAGATTGCTGTGCTGAAGATGAGCAGCTGAATGCCTGTTGTGGCTTAAAAGGGACACTAAGGCAGTGAAATGTGTAGTGGTGGTGGCCTCTGAGCAGATGGGATTTCTCCTGGGAGAGGAATTGGCTTCTGTGTGTCTCAATTTTTCTCTCTTGCCAGAAACTTTATAGTGCAATCAATTCCCTGTTTTGCTCCAGGAGTTGTGCAGTTCAGTAGCCCTTCATGATAGCTGTGAAAACCTGGTGGAATTAAAAACAGGTACCTTGGGGTGTTACTGCTGAAGTACTTGTCACTCTCACAGCTGGAATAACGCAGAATTTTAAGCTTTAGGAATAATGCAGCATTTTAAGCCACTGGGGGATGTTACAGGGAGATAAACATCCGTTCTTAGCACTTTTGCCAAACTGCCTGTGAGATGTAAACAAAGTTGGCGTGTGTTTGAGCTGTAGCTGTGTGAAAGCATCTCCACAGGAAAGAATGCTCATTTAGGATCTCTTGAAACAAGAAACACCTGTTAGAAAATCAGCACATGCAGAGAAAATAACATCCAAATATATACATGCTGATGAGGCATCGTACACACTGACTTCAAAAGGTTGGATCGACTGTCTGGGTTGGGTGAAATCTTTGCAAACTGGCCAGAATTCACACTCTGCCTGATGCCCTGGAATGTGGACCTGGAGGAGTTCCAGGAGCAGGACAGGCTGCTTGGAATATGTGGTATCATCCTGCCTCTGTACTGCCTTAGTCTTCAGAGCTAATGCAGGGAGATTGTTGGTATTGAAAAACATTCTGTTGGGGGTTGTCTTATGCATCCTTCTTGTGCTGGGAGGTGTAGCTGCTCTAGGAAAGGAAAAGGTGCTGTTTAATGTTAATTAAACATTAATGTTTAATGCTCTCCTTTGAAAATGCTCTTTTGCTTAAAGCAGGGAGTCCATCTACTTGCACTATCTGCAATACAGCAGGATTATCGTCTTCCATCTTTTTATTCTAGTGCTGACTGTGTTCTTGCAAGTTATCTGCTAAATTTGATTTTTAAATAAAATGCACCAGTAACCTGCAAAACAGTAACCAAGATTTTATGATCCAACAGCTTGTCCAGCTGATCACTTAAACCACTGTGAAACACTTTGGCTCTGGCTACAGCAAAACTGTTCCTGAGGGAAGGCTGCTTCCCATGTGGAGGGTTTTGTGAGGAGGGGGGTGGGAGGGAATGTGTTTAGTCTCCTTGGTGTAGTGTATGTAGAGATGGGCTGGAGAACGCAGCATGGCTTTCTAGCCTTCTGTATGGTATTACCTGCTCTGATGGCATGTTCAGGGTGCTCACTGGTTCTTTCTGTAGCCAAAGACTCCTCTGCTGTCCCCAGTTGTGATCCAGTGCTCTCTTTTTCCAGATTTGATGGCCGAGTGGTGGCAAAGCTTCCGTTTATCCCCCTCTCCTACATTCAGGGTCTCTCCCACCGCAACCTTCTGGGTGAGGATTACACTGACTGCTCCTTCATCTTCCTCTACATCCTCTGCACAATGTCAATCAGGCAGGTGAGTACACTGCTGTCTTCTCCATGCCTGGAGCAGGGAAAGCACATCCCCATCCATAAAGAGGAATCTACTACTGCAGTCCAGTTTCACACGTATGATCTTTCATGTGTTTGTGGGGTTTTTTCTCTTCATTCCTATGCTTCATGTTCAAAGCAATTCTAGGTTGGGATCATAAAAACAGCTGCTATCCTGAACTGGTGTGGAAGACTTGACAGGAGACCTGCACTAGGACAGAGTTGGCAGTTCCTTCCTTGTGTGTGTGTGTTGGAAAACTTTGTGGATTTCCATACTGACAGATTGTCTCCATCAGAATCCAATCAAAGTACTAATTTTTAGCAATCATGACTTTTGCAGTAATATGAGAAAAGAGAAATGTGGCATCACCAGGGAAAATTTCCCTTGTGGCTTGAGGTTCTATAAAGCTTCAATCAGTCCCTAAATCAGCTAGAAAACTGAGGAAAGAGTTAAGCTTGTTCTTCTGGGGTTTTTGCTGACTGCCTGATTATATATATATATATTTTTTTTTTTTTCTTCAAACTCTTAAGAACTTTCACCTGTCGAGTCTCTCCCACTGTTAGGAGCTGTGAAAGAGAAAGGGGTCTGGCATGATAAGCCAAGAGTAGGCTACACAGGGCTCCCAAGCAAAGCTGGTTAGTCCCATCTTTTGAAAAGAAATGCATCAGGGAGGATGAAGGAAGTGCCTGTTGAGGAAGATTCACTAGCAGCTTAAGTGGCAAAATGGCTGGTGAGGTCAAGTGGGCCTTCTCAGTGCAACCAGAAGTCTACTTTGTCAAATCTCCCCAGAGAGAGCTGAGGATAGGTTAATAGACTCTAGGGGCTGGATGAATGCTGGTGCAACTAGCAGAAAATTATCTGATCTTCTGTATTTATATTTCCTTTTTCTTTGATGCACTTCCTGAATTCTTGCCCCTTTTCTCCTTGGCTGACTTGTTGCTTTTCCTCAGGGAGTGCCAAGGGACTTAGAAAGCCTTAAAGGGAAGTGGTGTGTTATGCCTGCTGCTGTCAGGAGTTTGGATGGGCTTCATGGGACAGCTTAACAGAGAGTTCCTTCAGTCACAAAGTGCATCCTCGTGAGTTGAATTCTCCATAGCCCTCTGCATTGAGTGCTTGGGCTGAAATGGATCTGTGTCTGGTCCTATGTGAGAGCAGATAATGAATTGTAGAATAATTTATGTTGAAAGAGTCACCTGGAGGTCATCTGGCCCACCCCTCACTCCAAGCGAGGGCAGCTTCAAAGTACCAAAGGCCAGGGGCTTCCTCATTCTCTTTGCTGCAAGACAAATCTTGTTTCACTTCCCAGTAGCTGGAGCAGTGTTTGCTGCTTTGAAAGAAAAGAGACCTTTTTAGCTCTTGGTAGCACCTTCTTGAATTCCTAAGGTGCTGTGGTCTGATGCAGTTCCTTCAGGCAGACTTGTCTGGAACTGCTGTGTTACCTGTTGCATGGGAAGTCCCTTCTTTCTGATGTTGCAGATTATTATATGAAGCCACGTAGCAACATCAGGAAGACTTTTTGTGCACCCATTGGGTTGATCAGGGAACTCCCTTGCTGAAAAATCCCCCATGGATTTTTTTGTCTGAAAATGTAATTCCTGTGGTTAGTTCTAGTCCCAGGAATGTCCTGATCTTCCCTATTGCAACATCAGTAGATGTTATGAACTGATTGATGGTCCAGTCTGGTTCTGGGCAGAATGCAGAGCTGTTTGCAGTGGGTTGGGCTTTCAAGAGAAATTTTGGGGAAAAAAAAATTGCCCTTGTGTTTGAGAGTTCATGCTGATGGCCCTTTGGAGGATGGATGTTACTTGATTGCTTTAGAGAAGGGTAGTTTTGCTCGGTGGTGCTAGATTGCAGTCTTCACAGCTTGTCTATGTGATGGTGGTGAGTGGTCAGCTATACCTGCTTTCTCCAGCTGTTAGGCAGCTCAGCTTCTTCCTTCTGGCTACGTGGAGTGAAGGGCAGAGACCAGAAGCTGGGAACTGAAGCTGATTGCTGGCATCCTGCTCTTGGCTTTGTTACTATTTGAAAGAACTTAAGTGATAACAACATTGAGAAGAGGACTTTAAAGTGCTGTGAGAGGCTGGAGAAGAGGAGAAGAAAGTAATAAAGGGCTTAGAATGGTGCTGAGGATTTACTTTTGGTGTTATCAATGACCTTGGAGGTGAAAGCTGTATGATCCTTGGTGTTTGTGTGCAGAAGGGGAAATCTTACCAGGTCAGCTTCTAAATATCTGTTAGCCCCAGGGAGGAGGACCAATGGGAGTTAGTGGGAGTTAATGTCTGGCTTGATGCTGCTAACACAAGAGGAGAAGGAGTGGAGATGTACCAAAAAACAGGGAACAGGTTGTGGACAAACTGAGGAGACTGTACATTTCTCAGCCTTCCCTTAAACCATGGAGCTGCCTGTGAAAGGATCAAAGGCTGGAAGAGAGGTGTCCCTGTGGAGTTCAGAAGTAACGGAGCTCTAGCGTGTGTGAAAATCAGCAACCTGGAGGGAAATGCAGGGGAGTACATGAGGGTGAGGAGGTTAACTGGACGGTGATTAAAATGTCATAGGCAGCAGGAGCATCAGGCAGTCTCTTCATGTGGTCCTCAGGCATGTGGGGATGATAAACTCTCCAGACACTGACTGGGAAGCTTGCTGCCTGTGACCTGGCCAGTATCTCCCAAAATAGTCAACTCGCTGTGAGTAACTTCCTTTGCGCTGTTCCCAGCTCTCCCTGGCACGTAAATCCTGTCCCCTAGTTCCTCTTGCCTTCCTGTTTGGAGAGAGGACGGTTGCTGGGAGAGGCCTTCCAAGGGTCCTTGAGCTGTTGGGTTTCATCTGGGAAAGTTTGTGGCTGGGCTGGGCGGGAGGTATAATGTCAGGGTTACATCCTCTGTCCCCCCTCCTGTTGCTGAGCTCCCAGCCTTCACCTGTGCTCTTTGTGGAGAGGAATAAGCTGCTCTTCCTCAGGCAGTTGCTGGTCTTCATTTCCTTTTCACATGCCTGAGCTGTAGATAGGCTGCTTCTCTCTGAAACCTGGTCCCAGTGGGAAAGGGAGCCAGCAGTTATCTCTACTGCCAGGAGTGTGCTTTCCCACATGGCCTGATCTCAGGGCAGGGAGCTGCTTGCTGCCTTGTCTTTGAGGTCTTTTCTGCTTTGAAGATAAAAGCAGAAGAAGCTTCTGTCTTTCCTGAAGTTACATGATGAGCATACAGAATAGCTCAGATGAGGAGTTTCCATCCTGAAGTCTTGAGTATTCCCTCCCTGCTCCTGAAGCAGGTCTTGTCTGTGTTGGAAGGAGACTGTGCAGGCTTCCTTGTTCAACCTGGTGCACATCAAACAGGACAGGTTTCTGCTGGTCCTCACCCCAGCCCTGGTGTTTCCAGCTGTTTAAACTTCAGGATCGCTGTCCAGCAGAACTTGTTTTTCAGCTAGCACAGGAGGGTAGCAGCCTTCCACAGTAAGGAGAGGACTCCTATGGAAGGATAATGCTGGATGACAGATAAGCTGCCATTTGTCTTCCTCTTGCAAGTGTTCAAGCAGATGGAGTAAACTTTAGCAACAGGGTTTCCGTCCGTGGGTGCTCTGCTAGGATCTCTCCTCTGCTCCACGGGTGAGCCAGTACAAAGCTGGTGGGATCTCGGTCCTGCCTGCTGCTGACTCTGCAGCACCCTCTGGTGTTGCCCAGTCTGCCCCTCAGCTGCCTTTGTTTTCTCCTTTTGGTCCCTCTCCTGACTAAGGAATAAGTGGCTGATTTACATAGGACTAAACCTGATACAATTCCATTCCAGGTGTACCCCTTCTTTACTTTCATGCTTGTGTATGAAGGCTGCAACCTTCCTTTTCAAAGTCTCCACCTAGAATGATTCCTAATTTTTTTTTTTTAACATTTAGCTACTGTGGAATTACGAAGCTCTGTCTGCCTTTATTTTTTTTCAAATTTGTTTTAATTCCATGATCAGAAAATGAAAGATCTCTCTGACCTTGCTTTCAGACCTATCCTGACAGTTCTTTTGAGAGGGTGCTCAGATTTGAAGAGAAACCTCCTTCCTTCTTCTGTTGCCTCAATAGCTGGTGACATGAGGAGATCACAGTTGTTTTCTTCGTTCCCTCACATGAGTTGTTTCATCAGCACTGCATGAGCAGCACCTTGATCTGTAGTTATTTACAGGGAAGGATGAACTGAAAGAACTGGCTGGTAGTTCTTTGTAGTTGCACTGTTGTCAAATTTAAAAGGAAATGTCACAAGGATCAAGAAAAACATCTCACTTCTAAACATTCTGCTGTGAGTTTCTAGCTGATGCCTGGCTCTGCTACTTAATTCTTAACTTGTTTGTTGTTGTCTACTAAAACACCCTGCTCAGATGCAGATGAGGTCATCTCAGTAGACAGTGTTGGGGTTTTGCTACATATGTCCTGTTATATTGCACATCTCCACCAAACCATTGTTCTATCTGCATCACTAGCATTCATGTTAATTCTGTGCCTAAGCTCCTGACTTGAACTTGGCACACACTCTTGTTGCCATGTTGCTGACCCAAATTCTGTCTGCGTTAGGAGAGCCTTCCTCACCAGCTTACAGACCCTCAGGCTCTGATGGCTGCTGTCAACAGGAGTGTGTGAAGAATGAGGGCTGCTTTGGTTCCACCTGGCAGCAGCTGTTAGGAACCTGCTTCTCTGTGCACTGCAGTTAAATGGCAAAGAAAACTGTCCTGGGTTGCTTTTTAACCAACTTGTGTGCAAATATGTTAAGGAGGTATCTGCCTGCTGGCTGTGTGTGGTGTGGCTGGAGGAGGAAAAGAGCCCTCAGCCAAAATCTGGATTTAGTAATGGAATAGTTTTGGTTGGAAAAGCCCTTTAAGATCATTGAGTCCAACCATTAACCCAGCACTACCAAGGCCACCATGTCCCTCAGCACCACATCTACATGCCGTTCAAATTGCTCAAGGGGTGGTGCCTCCACTTCCCTGGGCAGCCTGTTCCAGGGCCTGATGATGAGGAGGCTCTTGTGGAGGTGGGGAAAGAGGGTCCCAGCTCTTACTGTAGCCAGTGTGGAGGGCTGGTTGGCTCTGTGCTGAGCTTTTTGGAATGTATGGAGATAGAGGTCCAGTGTAGAGCAGCTAGACTGGTAAGGCTGTGTGGGTGAGAACCTGAATCTGTTGAAACCAGTGGGAAAGTTGTAAGCAGAGTTGGGATTTCTACCTCTTTTAGTGTCTCCCTTGTCACAGTCTGACAATACCCTGCTCTTCTATTCTTGTTTTTGCAGAACATCCAGAAGATGCTGGGTCTTGCTCCTTCCCGGGCTGCCACCAAGCAAGCAGGAGGCTTCCTTGGCCCACCACCTCAGGCAGGGAAGTTCTCCTAAAGCACAGATACAGCCTTCACAGGAGGTCTGGCCAGTGCACAGGACTGCCTTTGGGAGGTGTCTGGATGGGATTCTGCACCAGGCTTCATGTGTCCAAAACCAGCCTATGCAGTATTGACCATGAACTTGGAAACATCTTCCATACAGAGTATTCCACCAGTGGCTGTTTGCTCATCAAACCAAGGAAGTTCTCAGAAGATAACTTGACCTTTTTTTTTTTTTTTTTTTCCTCTGGTGTTTCTGAGAAATAAATGGCATGGGCATGTTGATTTAGATGTCTCTTGATTGTGCTGTAGGACAAGTAAGAAATACCTTGATCTAGTGCAGTTGATTTAGTCTGTGACATGGAAATCAACTTGGGGAGTGAGAGGAGGTGACTTGGAAAATTGAGAGCAGTCGTGCTGAGAAGTGACTCTTGCCTTAGACACTCTGGCTGCAGTCTTGTGGAGCAGGGCAGGTTGGTGTGTTTACCTTCCCTTTGCAGAACTTCCAGGTTTCCCGTGGGCTCAGGTGGCTGGAGATGCCACCTGGGCCATCCTGCCCGGGGAGGTCGCAGCGCGCGGGTGTCGGATCCCACCAGCACGGCTAGATCTGATCCCTCCTGATGGCAAACCGCACCCTGGCAGCTCTGGGAGGGCTCTGTCAGCAGCTCTGCCCTCGGCAAACCTGCCACACGGTGGCACTTGGGGCGGGAAGCGTTTGCACATCCAAGG